CCCAGCGTGGTGCCCTCCTGATCAGGATCAGGCCCCAGCAGCTGGGCATCCCCCTGGGGCTGCCAGGCAGGGAGGCACAGGGCTGGGTTGCAGTGGCAGATTGGCTCCTTGCTCTAAACAGCAAACGTTTCTTGAAAATGTAAAATCCGCAAGGATTTTCCATCACCAGCAACCAAAAGAATTTCATATTTGTCTAAGCCTAAGGTATGGATGGTGTAAAGGCTGCACTGAGGCAGCTCTGCCAGGGTGGCCGGCACGACAATCGTGGCAGCCCCTTCCCTGTCCTGTCCTGTCTATTGCAAACGGAATCAAGTTGGAGTAAATTAATGCAGTACATATTTGTGACACAGTGTGAACAAAAATATCAAAAAGATTAAAAGATGCTTGTGGAAAGCTAGCATGATCCTCACATAATTAAAACAAGTTGTTCAAAGGCTGCTGCTTGCCGGCTAGCACAGAGACTCCGGGCAGGACTGCAGGCTGGGAACAGCATCCTGCTCTGGGATGGCTCCACCAGAGCCACCAGTGGGCATGCAGGGTGAGATTTGGATCCTGAGCATCTCTCTACCTTGTCTTCCTTTGCATAAGCCCCAGGAAGTTGGTGATCTGTCTGCCTCAGTTTCCTTAAACATTAAAGAGATTACCATGCTCACTCCCAAATGCACAAACCACTTTTATATCCATGCGTTAAGGGTCTAAAATTACCTCACTGCTTCCTATCCAGCTTTGCTTTGTTTAATTAAGACTATGATTAACTGTGAGGAGGAATGCAAGTTTGGTGTTGGCTAAAGGCTTCTTCCAGGCAGTGATAAAAGTCTGTTTAAAAATATCTCCTTTGCTCACAGCCTATTGCAAATAGTGTACTTAATACAGTATGTTTTTTGAAGTACTCTCAGCAACACATAAAATCGTTAGCCATGCAGTGGATTTCCTCTAATCCTACTTGACTGTTTCTAAATATCATATGTTATTTCTGTGAAACAATTATTATACAATAAATGCAGAATATTTCATGGCAGCAGTATCTCTGAATAGACACTTACATTACGCAGTATCAAATTCTATGATCAACATAAATACATACTTCCATTTTATGTCAGAAAGATATTGGCTTAAAGGAACTTACAAAATAATTTTTTTCCCCCCAATAAAACTAATGCCCTACTTCCTTTCTCAGTTCCATATTAAACATTCAGCAGATTCCAATAGTTACAACGTAAACATTTGAAAAAATAAAAAATCCAAAAGACAGAATTTATAATCTCTCTAAACTTAAGAATATAAAAACCACATGTTAAGATCTAAATAAAAATGGTCAGACGTTGATTTATTTTTTTGCCAACGTGGTTCTTAAATAAAAGCAAAGTATATAAAAAGGGTAGAGCCCACTATGCAATAAATAAATAAATAAATAAATAAATAAATAAATAAATAAATAAATAAAATTTAAATGTTCTGTAGCTCTGAGTCACTTTTTTCCCCTCCCATTTGAAATTTTAGGGACCAGTTAAGCTGGCTGATGGCACATGGTAAAGCAGCTACCTAAATTAAAGTCAGCTCTCAGATGGAGTTCCACTGTACCCCCAGTGAAGCGGTGTCTTTGTTCATGCTTCCAGCCCCTCACAGTGATGCCTAGGCCTGCTTTTAGGACTCACGTCTGCAGCCTGTGCTGGCTGCTCCCAGCATTGCTCGGGCACAGCACCCACCTGAACAGCCTCAGGCCCAGACAGAGCTGCAGCACAGCCATGTGGCTGCATCTTCTTCACTTAGTGATGCAATGAAAATCGAAGGGAAAGTGGCAAATTCAGACTTGCCAGGTTGGAAAACTCGTGATTTTCTAATACGGCTGAAAGCACCTTGAGCAGTCCTGAACCAGGGATTACAGGCGTGGAAACAACTGCTCCTCAGGAGCTACCTGGCTGGTTTGTGGACTTTGTACATAACAGAGCCTGCTCTGTGGGGTCTCTGCTGCTTCCTTTTCCAGAGGTGGACAGGCAATATCGATTGAAAAAGCTGGTGGAGTTCAAGTGCTTCCTGAAACACAACCACCACCTCTCTGCCATTAAAGCCACTGGCCTTGCCTTCATTCCTTCACAGATGCCAAAATGTGCAGGTAGGCGATGGATCTGCATCAGCCAGTTCTGTGCTTCGGACCTAAGTTTCTTTATGCTAATGTGCAGCTTCCCATTTTGTAAGCTGGCTCTGACTTGACCGTGCAATGAGTAACCGGAGGCAGCGCCAAGCATTTCCCTTCCAACCACCATCCTGTGACAGCCACTGTCAACATTTGCACTGGAATTCAGCATTACAGCAAGAATGGAAAAAACCCCGTCAGGGAACAAATTAGCTTAACTGAAGAAATGTCCCTGATCCATTCACTGCTCCAAAACAAAACAACTTTCTCTCTGATCCTCTGCACGCCCAGCCTTCCCATGAAACCTTGTTTGAAAATCAGCCCAAGTGGGACACAGAAGTTTAGCTGGTTTTCCCTTGAAAGGCCCAGCAACGTAGTTCACTTCTCAGAGATCGGTGGAGCAGAGATGAGAGCAAACACGGGAGCAAATTATTTTTAGTGAGGGAAGTAATTAAGATTATGAACATACCTAACTGCACATGTGTGCTTCTATATTTATGTTCCTTTTTGTAACGTCTCAAAGTTATGCCTGGCACACGTATCTAAAAATTAAATGCCGCATTGCTTCTCCAAAAGAAACCATAATGGTCTTTTGTAAATAACTTTATCTACTGTTCAGCATTTTACTAGTCTTGCTATGTTATACTATAGCATTTATTGTTTTACAAGTGTTAGTGTTCTCTGGTGGGAAATGCTGTAAAAACATAGAAACTTAAATAATTTTTTCATCTACTGAATTTATAATAAACATGGGACTCCACAGACAGTTACTCAAGCTGTAAGCCATTTGGTTTGTGTCAGGGGAAATGCTGGTTAATCGGGACAGCCTGCTGTTCTACACTGCCTAAACTAAGGAAAACATACACAAAGTTAAACCTCTTTTACTCTATATATGGGATTTTACAGCTAATGCAGTTTAGCAGATTGCCCCGCGCCCCCCCAAACCTTGCAGCTGATCCTTAGGAATCATGTCCCAGGAGAACAAGGCTCACAAGCCTGGACAAAAGCTTTGCTTAGCTCCTGGGGATTTCTCCAGAAGTGCCCACAAGCTGTGTTTGAAGAAGTCTATCCTGCTCTGCCCAAGGTGTCAGTGGTTTAAGCTCTAGATCAGCAGAAAATGTGCATCTTTGAAGAATTAACAGAGCTTGGACTCTAAAAAATGCCATTTTGTAGGAGCGTGGTGTTTCTTATCACCACTTTTAAGTTTCATCCTGCCAGAGGGACACAGCAAACAGACACCAAGAAGCTCACAGCCCAGCTCTGCCAGAGTGCAGGGTACCAGCTACCTGGGGATGCCCGGACACTGCACCTGAGGGGGCTCATTAACAACCAGCAAGACGTTTCTCTTTTGGGAAGGCTTTTTCCCCACTGGACATTGTCATTAAGGCCACCGGTGAGCCATCTGCCTTTCCTGGTGACACAGAGCGAGAGGGCAAGGCCTTGCTCTGGGATTCAGGGCTCAGTGTGCCAGAACAGGCCCACGGCAAGCAGTGCCTGAGGCACAGCCCCAGGCAAGGATCCATTTTTAATCCTGTTCTTTGAAGAAGTTTCATTTCTAGTCACTGTGCTGCCACAGGGGGCTGCACCCCCCACCGCAGCGCATATTTGCCAACATCTCATCAACTTCCTTTCTGAAATAGAAACCGTCGTTTTTATATGATCTCTCCCAGTATTGTTAATAGATTACAAACACTGATGTGGTGTCTGACTGGTTGTGGTGCTCATTACTAAAGATTTCAGATCTGATTTTCAGCTGCCTGCTTATGCTTATTTAATTAAAATTATGGTTGATTTCAGGGTAATATTTGTTAAATGTTATTTTCCACTTCACTTTTAGATATTTTGTTAATGGAAAACACTTGACATTCATGGTGTGCACTACAGCCTTTGATTATCCCATACAATATTCTATATTTACTTCATGTTCAGTGTTTAATGCTCAAGCAGCTCCCACCTGAAGCAGAAGCAGCATTTCAGATGGCAAAATGTTCTTCATGTGAATGAATCCGCTAGAGCAGGGGATTTTTGTCAGTTTAAGTGAAAAATTGGTAACACTTGCAGAGATTGCTTTTCCTTCTGTAAATTGTTAATATTAATAAAAACAATAATAATTTTTAACATCATGAACATTTCAGAAATAAAGAAGCAACTCTGCAGTACTTTCCCAGTGGCCCTGGGAGGGATTTTGGCACTCTCCTGATGCCATGAGCAGGAGCTCCATGTCACCGGTCCCAGGAACACTGAGCAACGCCTGCTTCACCAGCCAGGGATGGAAGCTGGTCCCCAAGGTTCTCCAGAGTTGTACAGCCATGCTCTTCAGAAACACCACTTTCCTCACTCACTAAGTGTTCAGTAAGGGAAAGACATAGTAACTCAGTAAAACACAGCAGGAGAACAGCAGTAGTATCCGTGTGATGCTTTAAACATCAGGATACTAGAAGCTTTCAGCAATTGTTTTTAACTGTTTCTCTAGATGTGTACACTCGCTCTCTAGGATCACTTTACCCTATCACTTTGGATTACATAGGCATCTCTTCAAACACTTAGAAATAACAATTAAAGTCAGTAACAGTATTTAAAATAGCACAATTCACAGAACAGATAACCATAATGAAAACCAGCAGCCTCAATAGTTTATTCCTTTCAGATTCCATTCTCCCTCTGCAAATAGTAGCTTTGCACGGATAGAAAGAACAGCATCTCACATACATCTCTGCAGCAGTACCTGCCCTCTAGTACATTAAGCCTTGCTTCTTGCAGAGCTTTGTGCTAGTGAGAAGCATGGAGTAATTACCTCCCAAATTATTGGCACCTGTATGTAACAAAACAAAAACAAACCAAAAAAAAAGAGTAACCCTCTTGTTCAGCCTGGCTTACCTGCACACACACACCAAAACATCACCTAAAGCAAATTGGGAATGGTCATCTCCTAGCAAGACACAAAATTGGTATGAGGTTTTTAGAGAGTTAATGCAAGAGGTAATTAAAGAAAATACAAAAGGGATTGGGGAAAAAGGGTTACAGAGATCAATACAATATAACCAGGAACTAGTATGGGGAAGTTTGTGGTGGTGTCTAGCTAGTAGCTTTCTTTAATGAATATATTTAAATACAACTTAGTAGTAGCTGTATGTCACAAGCTGTCCTAAAAGCAATTGTTTCAGGTCTAGCTAGTTAGTATTAGTTTCAGAAGGCCAAAACAATCATGCATGAAGGTTTTCAGAGATGTTGTGGCAAGATAAATACAATGCAGAAGATATTTTAAGGCTGTGATACTTTCTCCTCAGTGAGTGCTCTCTGAAATAGTTAGAAAATACAGTACGGCAGCTTAGAAATATTGGTGACAGATTGTGCTCCTTTGAACACAGGAAACAAGAAGAGCAAATTGAAAAAGGTGGGAGATGCATTAAATAAACTCCCTAATTTACTTGTGTTTGTTTTCACATTGGCTTCCCAAACTAGTTTAGCAATAATCAGTAGATTAAGCAAAGCCTTGCAAGTGCTAAAACTGGAAGGTACAGAAAGCAAAAAGCAAGGGAAGACAGTTTATGTCCTCCAGGCAGAGCTACATTCTGGCAGATTAAGTTGGAGTGAAAACATCTTGTCAATTAATTAGTGCCTTTATTATTTTAACTGACGTTATGCTGCCCAGTGACCTTTTGTTGAACATTACGTACTGAATAAAGCTATAAATACCTCCAGAAGTTTTACTTAACAGGATTAAAGCTGAGTAACACAATGTATGATTGACTCTGCAGGCTGGGACTCAGCATACCCAAACTTGCTCATGAGACAGTTTCCAGTTACGCACAGACGTCATCAGCACCTTTGGTGAACAGTCAGCAAATGATGCTATCAGCAATATTTAATGCCGCCACAGTCTTTGCCCCGAGCAGCAAGTTTTATGTATCTATGAGAAGTGATGCAACCACAGGTGCAATTCCCAGCAGCACGGACTGGATGGATAAGGAGGGGGCCCAGGGGCTCATCCTGCAAATTGTTCCCAAATGCTCCTTGGACTGGGAACAAGTGGAGGAAAAAACAACAACAAAAAAAAGTACAGTGAGCCTACTGATACACAGGTTGTGGAGCAAGGCCATGGTGGTCACTAGCTTTTAAAGACCTAGACAGAAAATGGAGCCCCTCCCTGGGAACCTGATGGGCAGATTCAGAGGAATCTGCTCAAGATAAAGCCGCAGAGGCTGCTGAGCACCAGTTGTTCCTGGGGAAAGGAATTGACACCAAGCCATGCTGTGAACTACTGTAAGTACAAGAGTCAGATTAAGTTCAGGAAAGATATTGCTACAAAATGGACATCCCAAATGACTAACTCCTGCTTCATTGTAAAAGCCAGTCTGCAGCAGAGGGCTGTATCTAAGATTTTTTCTTTTTAAAGTTTTTTTAGACACAAGCCAAGTGTTCTTGTGTCTGTTCAATATATGCACAAAATGCACCCAACTCCACAATTCTCCAGGAAAAAAAAAAAAAAAAGAGACAGGTTCTGCAGGGGATTTTTCAGAATACGACACTCTCCCTCTGTGTTAGTGTTGAACTAATTCCCAGTTCAGTGCTGGGGAAATTGAGCTGCTGGAAAGACAAACTTTCATATAAGAAATACAACCAAAATCTTGACCATTTATTATTCAGAGATTACCTCATGGTACTTTAAAATAAAGAAGGAAGAATTTTAATCCTATGGTCTTGGCCAATGTGCATTCTTCCTCACCAGAAGTTTCAACAAAAGTGATTTCTCACCGGCTGTTGGATGTGTCAGCAGGGGAGAGCAGCCAGCCCCCGGCTGGCAGTGATGCTCCCCTCCTCGCGGCAGGCAGCAATTCGCCTCGGGCTCAGCGGTGCCGTGCCACTAAAATGAAATGAATCAGCTGGTTTAATAAACGGGATAAAGCAGGCTTCAGGCTGCACAGACACCAGCGGCTTCAGCACAGTCACCGCGTGATGATGGTGCTGATAACAGGCTAAGGGTGGAAAAAGGACAGAAGAAAATGAAGTGTATCTGGATGGCGAAGAAAAACCTGTCAGCAATGAGGTTCCTCGCTGGCATCAGTTCCTCCTGGGAGAAGTGACTGAGAAGCAGTGCTGGTGCCTGGAGCTAGGGAAAAGGGGGGACACAAATGCAAGCCCAAAACAGCTGTGATGCTGTGAGAAGCTCCGGGGAAAGGTGGGGAAAGAGACAGAGCTGTTTCAGAGAGGGAAAAACCAAAGGAGTGAATGCAAAGCACAAGGAAACGCAGCAGCAGTTCTCTGACAAAGGCTGGCAACAGGTTGTGCCATTGAAACTACCAAAAGGAGCAAATGGAATATTTTTCATGAAAAAGAATGAACTGATGAATGACAAGAAGGAAGGCTTACCTAGTCCTTCCCAAAGAAAAGTGTCCATGAAACTCCATACAGAACAAAACCCAAGGTGATACCCAGCCTGAACACAAGCTGCATTGGCTCTCAGCATCCCAGCCTGAGAAAGAACCAGGCACTGAGCACAAGACTCCCCTCCTGCTGCTTTGGGATCGCCACGTCCATTTGGGAAGTTCCTTGTGTCCACGTGGCCCTCAGATTGCTGTGGGCACCACACTAGGGCCCGAGGCTGGGCCTCCTTGCTGCTGAGCTCTGGATGGAGCCAGAACTAAGGAGCACCACAACCTTCACCCAGAGTTTCCCAAGCGCGGAGCATGCTCTAAACCTTGCCTTCTCTAACAGAAATACGTATTATTGGTTACAAAACAAAAGCAGAGCAGAGCTTAATGTAAAATAGTAATCTCACTACATAGTTTTTGCCCCAGGCTGAGACTAGGAGAAGAAACGCCATGTGCCTGAGGCCAGCTGCACCATTTAGTGCATTTCAAGCTGCCATTTAGATGCTGCTCTAACAAGCCTGGTGTCAACACATCGAGTAAACCTGGCTACTCAAAACATCCGCTGGGCTCACAGGTGGGCAGGAGAACTTGGAAAATTTCTCAGTTGTTAAAAAATTTCACTTTATAAATCAGAAGAGAGATGATGCTTTGCCCCTGCAAAGGCTTACAGTTGTGTTTTGAGTCTAGTCTGAGTGCACTTTTTTGGTTAATACATGTATATGGTATTTTGAAAAATATTATTAATGTATACAAACTTTGGTTCCCATTTGTTTCTAGTTCCAGTACCTTTCTTCAGTCCTCTGCTTGTTTTTTTTCCTTTTGTCTATCTATTTTCCAGACCAAAAAGATGGTGGTTTTGCTGCTTTGGCTTAACTAGGGCCTTGGATTTGCTCTCACTGCACGCTAATATAATACAAACAATAATCCGGTATAATGATATACAGGAGCCTTATGGATGATATTTTCCTGCTCAAGATAAGGAGCAAGCCTCCATTTTCAGGCTTCCAGATTTCTTCATAGCACTCGATAACAGAGAGGGAGCAATACAATTACCCTGCCATAAATATCCCAGAGGGATAATCTCTAAAGAGCCTACCACAACTGACTCCACTTTTGATCAACTGAATATTTTTTTTATTCGTTTAGTTTTGACTGTACCCAGTGAAGAGCTGGGCACTTGAGCAGTAGGTGTGTAAAGCCTGGGCTGCACATCTTGAAAGTCAGAAACTCAAAGAAACTTCAGCAGCTGCAGTAAATTCAGTACCTGAGCCCAAGTCTGTTCAGTGCCTGGGTACAGCTGTTAACCAAGCAGATACTCCAGTGCAAACATCAGGCTGTGAAAGGGCTCACTACTTGCCAGGTATTCCCACTATGCAAGAGTTTGCATTACAGAACATTTAATTACGGTGTTTTGACTAGAACCAGCTTTTTCCTTTCAGCCAAGCAAAAAAATAACAGAGTAATTAAAAAAGTAATGAAAACTCAGTAAAAATTCCTCAAACCAAAGGTCCGTGTTCGATCTGGATTTCAAAGAGCACATGTCAAGGAAGACTCCTGCTCACTGTCATTTAGCAGGTTGTTAAAAAGTTTCAAAAATGAAATAAAATTTAATGAGAGTTAGGAGGTTTTTTTTTCCCCTTTGTCTGAATTTTTACCTATCTTTGCTAATCAGAGCAGATATGAGAGCACAAACTGTAGGCAGAATAGTAACGTACAGCATTTCATCCAGTGGCTTACGAAATAATTTTATGCAAAGAGCCACGTTGGCTTCAGTGGAATAATTTGCTCAGCAAGTACATGCAGGTGGCAGAATTCAGGCCCAAAGCTTTGGAATATTGATTACACTTACAGGTAGTTGCTTTGCAGGGAAATCTTCCTCAGAATCACGGCTGATATTTCAGTATGCCAGACTTGTCACATTGAAAGGCAGCGAAGAAAGCTTTCTTTCATGGCATTAAAAGGTGCTGAAAAGATGACGGTAATTTAAACCATCATCACAAAATATATCCAGCATTATGCAGATAATCATGTGTATTTACTTTTGCTGTCAAAAGCTTGTTTTTAAAATAAGCCTTGACTTAGGATAGCATGTAAAATAACATTTTAGAACACTTTTCATAAAATGCGGTAATCAGAGTCCTGGTCCTCGATTGCAATCACAGTACTTAAAAACATTAATTTCATCTAGTGTTTCTTTCTTTTATGGGAATTTATAGAATATTATATAGGAGAAACACAGTAATCAGGCTCACCCTGGAATATAATGGGCTTTTAGATCCTGTAATGAGTAGTGTAAGAATAGTGTATTAAGAAAAGTCATGCATGTCATACATCTCTCCCTCATTGTAAAACATTGTTTTTAGATTTTACTGCAGCCAAAACAATTTATCTTTTTAATTAAAAAAAAAAAAAAAAAAAAAAAAAGTATCCAATTTCACTGAGCTTATACAGGGAGAATATGTTCCGAGTTCCTGAAATCACGTTGCTACACCAGTGAATTATAAGGGGCAGGAGCACGGAGATATGGAAGGCACACGCGCAATACTGAGGCTACCACAGCACATACTGATGCCAGCCGCTGATTTCCTCTGAATTTAAGAGACCTGAAATGCCCAAAATAGAGGCAAGAGCACCAGGCCCCTAACCCTGGGCAGGCCAAGATTTTGAGGGAGCTGAAGAACAAAAGACGGCACAAGCTAATGAGCTGCGCTGAGCCCATCTAAGTCACTCAGGGGATGCCAGGGCTGCCCTGCGATATAAATCGCTAGCAGACACCCAGCTGGATGCTCTGGAGCTTTGTACAAACTAACAGGCAGCTCTTCAACATGAAAAATTTGCCTGTACAGACACCTGGGTCCAGCCCAAACCTCCAGGCACACCCTGTGTCTGCCCTCCCACTAGTTCTGTTTCCCTGAGGGCAGTGGGTTTTCCTGGGACTGGTGCTCCTGTCACAAACTCTCAAACATGATGTTAAAAATATAAAATACCACCCTTTCCTGGTAAACAGCTTTCCATGCACCCAGTGAGTGCTCAGAGGAGCATGTGGCAACCTCAGCATGCGCGCCCCCAGCCTGTGCCTGCTGTCCCTGCCCAGCATCACTGCAGCTACGGAGCTGACTTCAGCTTTTTTTGGTTACCTGTGGTGCAAAAAGAGGCTCCTCAGCTGCTTCACTCCTCCAGCACGGCAGAACTGCCCTAGCTTTAGGTAATGAAGCCACTTCAGGTGTGAAGCTGCTTTGCTGTATCATACTTCATGCTAAAAGTTTAAAAGTTTCTCGAATGTTTAGACATGGGGCAGAAAAGTGGCATAAAATACTTAGGATGTGTTTAGGACTGTAAGACTTCAGTTCTGGTAGCCACAAAATAAAGAATAATTTTAGCTTTTGGGTTTGAGCCTACTCTTAGAAACTGTGAATTTCTGCCTTTTTTTTTTTTTTTTTTTTTTTTTTAAGATTAAGTGATGAACACAGCAGGTCAGAGTCTGAAGATGGCATTTACTTGGAATCATATGGGTATTTCAGGCAGACAGCTGCAGCGAACAGCTTTTTCTAGCAGGACTGGCTTCAGACTTCGCATATTTGTAACAAGCTAAATCCCACCATTAAGAGGTTCAGCCCAGCCATGATTGTCAAAATCTGTCGATCATGCCTATTCCTCCCGTATTCAGAGAGCTTAACAATGAAAGTAGTTTTTGACATGCTAAATGAGATTTGGGACACTTAACAAGAGCTGGCTCAAAACTGCTACCTCAAGAAATATAAAATGGCAGCAATGCTGACATTGTATGACAAATTATATGTTCCTTAATACACTGTGCCACTCCATTCAGGTTTATAATTGGCACTGACTATGGCTGAAATCTGATCCAAAGTAT